GGATTGCGGCGTGACCATCCCCCCTGGGGGGTGATTTCTCGCTTTCTGTCTCTCTCTCTCTCTGTCTGTCTGGCGAGCGCATGCACCCTATAGCGAAAATCTCTCCCCCCCCCCAAAAAAAAGAATGTCTAAAAATTTAGGGACCAGCAGTTAGCTTAATGGTTATGTCACTGGACTCCCATGTAGTCGACCACGGTTTGAGTCCCAGACCCGGTGGCTTAAACTCACGCCAAGTGTGCATGCATGCCCAAGATCCCAAGAAACTCACACCGAGTGTGCGTGCATGCTCAAGATCCCGAGAGGAGAATGGAGGAGAGGGGATTGTGGCATGGCCATCCCCCTGAGGGGTGATTTCTTGCTTTCTGTCTCTTTCTTTCTGGCGAGCATATGCGCTCTATAGCAAAAACCTCTCCAAACAAAACAAAACACACACATACCCACAACTCAGTGTGTGTGTGTGTGTGTGTGTGTGCATACCCAAAATCTTGAGAGGATTATGGAGGAGAAAGAATTGTGGCATGGCCATCCCCCTTGGGGAGTGATTTTTATTTCTGTCTCTCTGGCGAGTGCATGTACCCTATAGCAAAAATCTGTAAAACAAACAAACAACAAAAAACCCCAACAACAACCATAAAACAATGGTTAAGATTGTAGGATCTGGGCACCAACAGGTGGCATAGTGGCTAAATCACTGGTCTGCCTCATGGTTGACTACAGTTCAAGATCTGGACCTGGTGGGTTGAAAATCATGCCGAGCATATGGGTGTGTGTGCCCACAATTTCAAGAGGAGAATGGAGGAGAAGAAATTGTGGCATGGCAGTCCCCCATAGTGGGTGATTTCTCACTTTTTTTCTCTCTCTCTCTGTCTCTCTCTGGTGAACCTGTAGCAAAAATAAAAACAAACAAAAAAAAAAACAAACAAAAAACCCCCCTAATATTTAGGATTCAGGGCCAATCTATGGCATGGTGGTTAAGGTGGCTAGATGGTTAAAGTAGCTGCATGGTTGGCTGAGTGGTTCAAGTCTTGGACCTGACATCTTGGAAAACACAAAGGACAAGGGACTGCTGTGACCATCCTCCATGGGAGGGTGCTTTCTTTCTTTCCTCCTCTTTGGCTCTCTCTGGTGAACACATACACTCTCTAGCAAATTTTGGGGAAAAAAAAGAAAAGATTATAAGATTTAAAGTTTGATAACTTAGGTAATGAGAAACTCAGCCTTTTTGGTAACTAGTTGAATGACTTTGGACAAATTACTTAGCCACTGATATTTAATAATAGTTATTATTATCATCAAATTCTTATTATAATCAGGCTTTGTGATAAGTGCTCTCTATATATTGTTCTTCTGATGTAAAGATAAGGAAATCTAGGGACCAGCAGGTGGAGTAGTGGTTAAGGTGTTGGACACTCCCACATGGCCAACCATGGTTTGAGTCCTGAATCTGGTGCCTGGCTTTCTCGCTTTCTCTCTCTGTCTCTCTCACTCTCTGTCTGTCTCTGGTCAAATTAAAGTAAATGAATGAATAAATAAAATTAAATAAATAGTTATAAAAAAAGAAAGATAAGGAAACCTAGGAACAGGAGAGCATTATGTATGTCAGCTAAAGTCTTATGGCAGAACTAGGCTTTACAACTGGGCAGTTAGAGGCTGGTTGGTTCTTAGAGGTGAACTGGGATGCTTTGTGAGGCTGACCCACATGGGTAGTTCCAGGTTCATGTCGAAACTTCCTTTGTATCCAAGACACGTGTGTTCATGATCTCAAGCTGACTGGGGCTAGGGCTGGATCACAGTGTCAAAAACCAGTTGGAGGGAACCAGCAGTTAGCGTAATGGCTATGTCGCTGGACTCCCATGTAGTCGACCGCGGTTCACGTCCCGGACCTGGTGGCTTAAAACTCACGCCGGGCGCGTGTGCGTGCGTGCCCAAGATCCCTAGAGGAGAATGGAGGAGAAGGGATTGCGGCGTGACCATCCCCCCGGGGGGTGATTTCTCGTTTTCTGTCTCTATGTCTCTGTCTGTCTGGCGAGCGCACGTGCCCTACAGTGAAAATCTCTCCAAAAAAAAAAACCAAAAAAAACAGTTGGGGGGGTGGGTGAGAAAGCACCCATAGAACGGTTGGACTCCAGTTCCTTCTCCTTCATCTTTCTTCCTGTAGGGATTCTGGGCATGCATAACACATGAGCGTTTTTCAAGCTGCCATGTCTGGGATTCAAAGCACGCAGGCCCTGTGGGATCCAGCCACCTTAACTGATAGGCCACAGGTTGGTCTGTGAAATTCTTAGTAAAAAAAAAGGTGCCAAAAAGCAGAAAAGAGGAGCTTTTTAATGAATAACTCACATGCCCTCTGGCAATTAAAAACAAAGTCAAAATAGAAATACAAGAATCAAAATAAAATAAAAAGTTGAATTGATCATGAATGTTTTGGGAAGGACTGATGTCCAATTTCTTCCTTCATGCCATTTAAATTAGATTCCTTATTTTATTTATTTACTTGTTTACTTACTTATTTTTATATTTGATCAGAGAAGGACAGAGTGAGAGAGTGAGAACGAAAGAGAGAGGGAAAGTGAAAAGGCAAGTCTCCAGGTCCGGGACTCGAATCATGGTCGGCCATGTGGGAGTCCAACGCCCCTAACCATCCTGCCACCTGTGGGCCCCAGACACCTTGTTTTAAACACTGATTTTTGTTTCAGGTTGAACAAATCCTGACAGAATTTAAAGTCAGAGCTCTGGAATGTCACCCTGACAAGCATCCTGAAAACTCCAAAGCTGGTACGTATTTAATAATGGTTGAAACTAATAGTGTACTGAACCAAAAAGCAGTGCATGTAACTCGGTTTCCTTTTGTCTGCTATGCTCAAATTTGTTCTTTCATTCAGTGCCAAACATGGGTATTTTTGCACTATTGGGTGGAGGAGAGGAGGACTGTGCAGATCTCCCCCTACCCCCAGAGGGCACACGTGCTTGCTGGAGACAGAGACAGACAGAAAGGACTACATGAGATGGGGTTGTGCCATAGTCCTTTTCCCTCTGTTTCTCTATCCGTGAGCATTTGGGGTACACACATCTTACCTGGTGTGTTTCACATGCTGCCAGGGGTGGGACTTGAACTACAGTTGGCCATGTGAAATCCAAGACATAGTGCTTAACCTCAGGACTCTGGGGCCACCCCCAGTGCATGGTCTTCTCTAATAGTAGTTAATAGCAATAAAAGCATCCATTTTTCTTTCTGCCATATGTTCTGCTTTACGGTTTAAAATTTGTCCAATTTGGGGCTAGCAGATAGGGTGGTAGTTAAAACACTAGACTCCTACATGGCTGACTGCGGTTTGAGTTCTGGACCTGGTGGCTTGAAAATCATGCAGGGCATGTGTGTGTGTGTCCAAAATCCCAAGAGCAGAATGGGGGGAGGGGATTTATTTTGGTGTGGCCACCGCCTACGGGATGATTTCTCACTTTCCCTGTCACTGTCTCTTTCTGTTGCTCTCTAGTGAGTGCATGTTCTCTATGGCAAAAACCTAACAAAAGAAAAGAAAAGAGGGGACCAGCAGGTGGCATGATGGTTAAAGCACTGGACACTCCCACATGATCAACCATGGTTGGAGTCCCGGTCCTGATGGCTTGCTTTCTCACTTTCGTTATCTTTCTCTCCTTCTCTCTCTGTGTGTGTCTCTCTGGTCAAATTAAAATAAATGAATGAACAAATAAAATTAAATAAAAATAGTTAAAAAAAAAGAAGAGGAAAGACAAGAAATAGTCTAATTTAGTCTTTATTTTACCAGGTATTGAATGTTAACATAAGTATGTTTTCTTCATTTTGGGGACCTGTGTATATCCAGTCATACTTGTTTCTTTCCTTTATCACGTTATAAATATGCTTATGTCTAGCCAGGCTTGGAAAAAATACAAATGAACCAATAATCCTTCCACAATCTCTCTCCCTCTTACTCCCTCCCTGTCTGTTTCCTTCCCTTCAGAGACTAACTTCCTAAAAGAGAAGTCATAACTGATATCTGTCCTTCCTTTTTCTCCAGTTTTCTACTTACTCCACTCTGACTTCTTTCTCACTTCTCCCAGAAATGAACTAAGTACGTCCTTGTTGCAAAATCCAACTATTACATTTTTTTTAAGAATTATTTTATTTTATTTTATTTACTTTAATTTGACCAAAAGAGGGACAGAGCAAGGGAGATAGAAAGTGAGGAAGCAAGGCACCAGGTCCGGGACTCAAACCACGGTCAGCCTTGTGGGAATCCAGTGCCCTTAACCACCACGTCACCGGCCGGCCCCCAAAGGTTACTTTTTTGCTCCGATGTTCTCTGAGCTTGGACAGCTTGGATAGCAGAGCAAGACTCTGTTTCTGAGAGCTGTTGCCTACCCCAGCACCAGAAAGAGGATATTTAGGGTAGCCAGGATAGTAAAAATAAACAGAGTCAAAAACACTGACTCTGTCAACTATACATTCCTTTTTGTTTTTACCATAGGATGTGTGCCCTTGCCGAGAGAGAGAATGAGGCAGTGAGAGGGAAAGTGACAAATCACCCCCCCCCTGCTCCGCCCCCGGGGTATGGAGGTAGCCACACTGCAATCCCTTTTTCTTCATTCTCCTCTTGGGAACATTCACACATGCCCTCAGTGTGATTCGCAAGCCACCAAGCCTGGGACTTGAACTGTGGTCAACCATGTGGGAATCCAGCACCTTAACCACTCTGCCACATGCCAGCCCCCATACATTCCTTCTTAAGACACTCTTTTCTCTTAGCTGTCAAGGCAACAGGCACCCATGGTTTTCTTCATCCTCTTGGACTGTTCTTTTTGTCTGCTTTGTGGTTCTACCTCTGCCACTCTAAATTCTTGTAAGCTCTCCTCTCAGATTACTCCCCATTTTCTCTCAGGAACCTTGTCCATGTCTTCACCAGCTGTCTGTTTTATTTATTTTTTTAATTCAAAAAAAATTTTTTTTTTTTTTTTTTTTTGGTTTTGAAGGGAAAAGCACTAGTTTTAAGATGTTTGGTCTTGGTCAGACAATAACATGAGACAAAAACATGCAACTTGTTGACAAAGTGACAAAATTACATTGTTGAATATGTATTTTTCTCGAGTTTCTGTGTGTGTGTAGAAGAGCTAAGTACTCAATGATGAGCTATCTGTTAATGGCTCCCAAATCCATCATTTTTTTTTTTTTTTAGAGAAGATCTGTTTTAAGAACTCCTCTTGGGATCTTGGGCACACATACACACATGCTCGGTGTGAGGTTTAGGCTGCCAGATCTGGGACTTGAACTACAGTCAACTACATAGGAGTCGAGCGACATAACCATTATGCCATCTGTTGGTTCTTCCCAAATCTATATTTATCTTATTTCTCGCCCTTTATCTTCAGGCTGTAGTTCCAGCTGCTATTTGAAAATCTCCTTTTGGAAATATTTCAAAGTCACATTGTCAAAAACTGAACTAATTTTTCTCCAATATCTTGTTTATTTTTCTGTTCCTCCATCTCAATGAATGACACCAGTACCCATTCAGTTGGTCAAACAGAAGCCTTATCTCCTCCTCCCTCATGTCTACATCTAATCAATTACAAAATGTTTCTGTCCCATTTCTTTCTACTGCGTCCTCTTTCCTCTGCCCTTACTACCAGCACCGTAGGTAAGCCACTATCATTTCATGCCTAAACTCCCACAGCATTTTTTTTTCTCTCTCTTCTTTTCCCTTCCTTTCCTTCTCCCCTTCCTTCCTTCCTTCCTTCTTCCCTTCCTTTCTTCTCTTCTATTCTCTTTCTTAGTTTACTTAGTTTATTAATTTATTTTTTCCATGAAAGAGAGAGAGACGTAGAATTGGGGGACTCCCCTACAGCATCCCCACACCACAATCTACCCCAGCCTCAGCCAGCCCAGATCCTGGGCATGTGTATGCCTGGTGTGTACGATGAGGTCTCAAGATGTGAACTGAGGACCTTCCCTGTGAGTCCAGCTGTGTTTCTGTTGCACCACTATCTGGCCCTCTACAGCATTTATTGCTTCACATTGCAGATAGTGATTTGGAAAACATAAAACATTTAATTTGTGTAAAAACAAATGAAATACTGAACAGTTGTCCATGAATGTACTACCTAGCTTAACTTTACTAATGTCGTTGAAATCTCTTGTGTATTCCTACTCTAATTAAAAAACTCTTTTTTCAATTTCTAGAGAGTGCAAGCACTTACCAAAGACAGAAAGAGGGAGAAAGCACCTCCCTCTCCCAGTGGAGTGCAGTCATGCTGCAATCTCCTCTCCATTGTTTTCTCCCACAGGGATTTTGGGCACTCATGCAAATGTGCCAGATGGTTTTTATTAAAGCTGCCAGGGCTGTGATTTGAACTGTGGTCAGCCATGTGGGACCTGGTTTCCTATTTTTTTTTTACAGATTTTTGTTATAGGATGCATGTACTTGTGCTTGCTGGAGAAACAGAGAGATGGAAAGTGGGAAATCACCCCTAATGAAGGATAGTCACACTACAATCCTTTCACCTCCATCCTCCTCTTGGGATTCTGGGCATATACACACAAGTGTCCTGAGTTTTTTTTTTTTTTAAAGAAAAACTTTATTTAACTTTATTTATTTATTTTAATTTGACCACAGTGGGATAGAGTGAGAGGGAGAGAGGGAAAGTGAGAAAGGAAGATGCCCAGTCCAGGATTCAAACCACAGTCAACCATGTGGAGTCCAGCACCCTTAATCACCATACCACACCACTTACTGGCCCCAGCCCTGTCTGAGTTTTAAGCCACTGGGTATAGGATGTGAACTGTTGTCAGCTATGTGGGAGTCCAGCAACGTAACCATTATGCCTTCTGCTGGTCTTGAGATCTGGCTTCCTTAAGCTAAACTATGGGGTCAATTCTACTTTGATTTTATCTTTAGGGTGGGTAACATTGTATCTGTGATTTATCTATAATAAAAATATTATGCTAAAACCTATCTGTCACTCCAAATTACACAAACCCAAACTGTTATTTAGAAAAAAATTTCCTTGTCTTAAAGTTCTTTTTAATTTTCTCTAGAAATCATTCATCCTTGATTTGTTTATGATACATTATAGATCATTTCCTGATATATGAGATCATCTTTAAAAAATTTTTTTTATTTGCTGTAAGGCACATGCATTTGCTGGAGAGAGGAGAGAGAGAGAGTGAGAAAGCATCTACCCTGTGAGGGAGAGATGGTCATCCCCCAATTTCTTCTCCTTCATTTTCTTCTGGGGATTTTGGGCATGCATGCACACATGTCTAGTGTGTTTTTCAAGCTACTGGGTCTAAGACTTGAACTATGCAGTTGGTCATGCGGGATCCAGCTTTCTTAACCACCATGCCACCAGCTGATTCTCAGATCACCTTTAATTAGCTATTTAACTATTACCTTTGCTTACTTAATTTTTTTTTCCTTTTTAAAATTAAGGTGTAAATTGTTTCAGGTAACATGAGCAAATAATAAATGTAAGCTTAATAAATCTGTGTACATATATGTATATATAAAACCACTTTAACTACTGCCCACATGAAGATGTATAACATTTTCAGCCCCTCAGAAATCCCTTTCCATGTCCTATTCAAAGTCATGTACTCTATCATTTTAAATTCATTTATTTATTTATTTTATTGTTTTTTTTTGAGAGATTTTTGCTATAGGGTACTTGTGTCCTCCAGAGACAGAAAATGAGAAATCACCCTCCAGGGGGGATAGCCATGCCACAATCCCTTTTCCTCCATTCTCTTCTCAGGATCTTGGGCA